ACTGCCGGGCTGGTAGTGGATCCGCTCAGTCGTGCATCCCGGAGTTCGGTCCAGCATCGGTACTTGTGCGGCACGGTGACCGGTGGACGGTTGATTTCAAACGATCAACGGTCCCTCCACCGACGACATGAAGAAAAGCAACGGCGTGCGGATTGCGACAGCCCCTCGTTTGCAGGTGCGAAAGCAATGTTTGCCTATCACTCTTTGCTTCTCTCCCAGTGCCGAGACCCTCACATGCTGATGGACAGGCACCGGGGCCAGCGTCCCCTGACACTGCAACCTGACTCCCCCTGTCTGGGCCATCTGGTTCCCCGCTGAATCGAAGGGGCCACCCTCTAAGCGGGGAATTCGGTCGAGCAGACCAGATGTTCAGCTGCATGCGCAGGGGGTATTAACGACGGGGATTTTCTCTTCGCTTGCCAGGGCCTTGCCTGGTCCCCAGCGCACACTTTTGGGAGCCCTCTCGCTGGGTGCCTGCCCTGACTCCATCCCCGGCTGCCCACAACGAGCGGATTTTGCGCTGTCGTCAATCGTCGTCGAAGCCCTACAATGACTGGTGCACATGCTACGTTGTAGCGCATCAAGGGTCTCGTCGAGGGGGAATATGGAACTGCTGGAGGAGCTGGAAGAGACCCCCCTGCCTAGAAGCGAGGAATCTGAAACAGAGGCAGTTTCACGCCCCCCAAGTTCGCCTCTTCCCCTTTCGGACATTGAGCTCTCTGTTTGCGAACCACTGACAGCGAATCAACTCACTATTAGTCTTCAACTGTTAATGTGAACATGACAGGATCATGTCGTTCCTACTCCAAGAGGCTAAGCTTTTCCTCCCGTTTGTTGTTTCTTCAGGCCACAACTCCCTACCTAATACCATCCATCAGTCACCACATCACATCGCGGGAACGCGGGAAGCGGAGGCATGCCACTGCATTCCGCGGCCATGGCGATTCAGTCCTAACCCGCTGGGACCAGTCATTGTCCTTTGTCCACCGCGCAGTCGTCACAACGGCACCCCTCAACTGCCAAAGCGTTTGGGGTAAGCGCTGGAAACGTGTCCGTCGTCCAGCTGAGGACATCCAGCTGTCACAGATGTCAACGCTATTTCTCCCGGGTTACCTTGTCGTTGGCCAGTCATCAGTCAGTCGAATGACAGCGACGGGACGACGACAAATGCGCCAAAGCTCTCGAAAAGCTCAGGCTTCCGCTTGACTAAGCTGAAATCAAATAACCTTGGGTTCTCAGCTGCCTGCTTCTGCTCCTGCTTCTACTTCTGCGACCAGCGACGCAGCCTGGTAATCCGGCTGTCACTCTGGCACGTTCATCAATCACCCCGGGAGCGCAGAGCCCAGCAAATGTCACGAAGACCCCTGGTCCGGCGGCCCTTCTCCCGGCCTTTGCCCGACCGCAATGGGAGGCCACTGCCGGCTGTTGTCCACTGTCACGTTGCTGATCGCCACCCCGTTCCCACTGTCCAATGCCCGGATGGAGGTGGCCCGGACTCCACGGCCGAGTGGATTCACAGGGCTTCACGAGAGCCGCCCAGGGAGGAAAAAGAGACGAGAAGGACGTGATGCCCATGGGCCACGGGGAGCTGCGGCGCGGCGTCCTACGTACTCCCTGCCCATCTTCATCTGCTCCTAGCCCCAGTACGGGTTAATCGTCCGAAGATGATCAAGAAATCCCTCTTCTGCAGCTTGCTCTGGCCCGTCCGGGTCCGTGTTGCTGCCTCCCCTGAAGGACGCAGACGCAAACGACGCAGCTGCTTGGAGCATTGAGCATTATGAGCCCAGCTCAACAAGCGTGGTTTTGGTAGACGATCCGAGGGGGCGCAGAAAGACATTTCCTTCACCTTCAGACGATCTGGTAGAACCGAGTCTCGTACCCGCGACACTGATCGACCACCAGAGAACACAGCCCGACGCCGTACCAGCTACGAAACGGCGCCGTCCCGCCCGCATGAATTCCCCGACATGAGCTTCTACCCTTGGTCCGCGCCCCTGGCTGCTTTCCAGCTTCCCTCCTTGAGGCAGTCCAGCCGCTCTTCTAAAGTCATGGAAGCCACACCTATGATCTCGGGGGGTCCTGGCGACTACCTTCTTCAGCGGCACAGCATGAAAGATCGCCTCTGAGCCACAAGGACGTCCGATTATTCCCAGCTTACGCCACCGCATTTGCCCCTGTCCGGTGCCACTTCTTGAACACTGCCTGTGGCTAGTTGTCGCTTTTTTTTTTTGCCTGCCGGAGCCACAGAACCTCGTATGAATACGGGAGACCCAGTGGCTCGTGAGTCGCACGTCGTGCTCCCCGACATGGGCGCCTTCCGCGGTTGTACCGCGGTTTTCCCCTCCTCTGTTTTACAGAAACACCGATAGACCACATCGGATGCCTCTGGGCTGGCATCCCTGCCCAGCTGGAATCCCGTTGAAGAGCCTGACGCAGCCGGCATTCCTTGGGTACAAGTGGCTAGAATGTGGGCCGGCATTGTTCACGAAGAGGCACTTTACACGCCCGCCCTCACGACGCGCCGGCGTTTGCTGTGATGCTAGCGACTCCTGGCTTGGCTCGTGGTTTGCTCCTTCGCCATAGCATGATTTTCAGCCGCTCACCTCAACGAGACTCACACTTAGGATGACCGCTCAACAAACTTGCATAAGCTTGAACCACTTACACGCAGCAGTCTGCCTTGGCTAGCGGGTGTTAGCCCGCGGTTGGTTCTCTTGACGTCTTACTCACTGCCGTTGCCATGGACTCCCCCCCACGAATCCGCGATTCTCGCTCCCCTCCCCACGGTCGCATTGCCGCCCGCATTCGGTCAGGAGACGACGACTACAGTCGCAGGGACGACGACTTTGCATCGCATCACATCACAGGGGCTACGCAAGTCGGACCCCCGCCCGACAAGGCTGGCGGTAGTCATCGGGCATGAAGTGTAAACATCGTCGTCTATTTGCGCTGAACTTCGCGTCTCATGTTTCATCTATCTGTAGCGTCATGATTACCCATCCTTCGTGGGGTGAGCCGGCGGCAGCCATTCTCCAATGAATGGGGCGAGGGAGGTGCTGACTTGTCGTTCGCCTCACACCGCCCTATCGCCCAGTCGCGGACCTGCAGCTGACGCCCAAGTCCCGGGGGAGCCCATCAGAAAATCCCGTTTGCCGCCAAACAAGAAAAGCGGTCATGCAGTAAAACTCATCCTGTCTAATCAACATGTTCTAAGCTGCACTCTGCTTGACCGTATTCTCCTTCTCATCACAACCCTTGACATTCTCTGCCTAAGCCTTCTCGAACTCGGCGTAATCGTCGCAGCCTGTTCATTTTGTCAAATGCGTTAGTGACGGCGTCTCGAAGATGCGTAAGATTGGCCAGTTCGTTTTCTCCTTTCTAGCCTCCCGGGGTTCATCAAGAAGAAGCAATGCCGACGGCAAAAGAAAGTGGGCTCAGGTATAGTCATTACCTTCAAAGACGTAGCTCTCGCGGGTCCAGACGTGCATCTTGTCCTTGCGGAACTCCTCAAAAGACCACTCGCGACGGTCGAGGTTCTCCGGGCGCTTGTAGATGTAGGCCATGGTCTGCTTGTCCTCCTCCTTGCCGTCCGCACCGCGGACCTTGACGGTAACGACCTTCTTCTCGTACTCGCTGCCCTCAAAGAAGTCGAGCTTCATGACGTTGACGTCAGTGAGGCCAGTCGCGTAGATGCCCAGGACGGAACCGCCCTTCTCGGGGATCATGCCCGGGTAGTCGGCCTTGTTGACACGGTGGCGGGTGTAGTCGTTCAGGACGGCGGGGGTGAATGTATAGAGGTCCTTGATGGCTTGGGCAGGCTTGCCGTCGCCTTGGGTCACGGTGAAGAAGACCTTGGGCTCCATCTTCTTGAGAGTTAGTGAAGTCCAACGGTGATGTTCGGGGTTACTGAGTCATCGATACTGACCAAGGTGCCTGTTGAGAAGCGTTAGCATGTAAACCAGCAGGTAGATGAGCCAGACTTACCGTAGAAGAATGCAGTGTGCTCTCCACTCATTGTGACGTTCGATATCAAGTTGGTGACTCAAGTGAAGTTGACGTGTGTAGGTTGGTTGATGATCCTGGGTCGGAGTCGTTGTGGTGAGCAAGAGATGTGCCCGAAGAAGAAGCGCTGTGGGAAGGCATATATATGCGTCTTGTCAGATTCAGTGTTATTGTAAGTCCACAGAGATGCTTCTGGAACGAATTGCGCTTGCCTTACCCGTCTTTTGATGTTTATCGCGATATTTGTTGGAGCGATACAAAGGACAAATAAGCCAAGCAGATGGCAGAAAGTTACGCAAGCATTTACCTTTGTCTATCTCACAAGATATCGCCAGTGACATGAGAAAACATAGAATACATACAGCAAGCTTTGCAATCGAACAAACATCAAAGAATCCGGAACTGAAGGAAGGTGACCGGAGAGTGAAGTGCGATCCCGGCCCACCTCCGGATTTCCGGCCTCCACCTGGAGAAGCCGCCGGGCAGACGCGATAAGAGCTTGATGGCCGCGATAAGAGCGTCCCCAGCTTGCCCCTGCTGCAATCGCGGGCCGGCTGCACTCCGGGTGGATACCTCCTGCCGGATCAATATTGTTACAGCGCCTAGCGCCAAATGATTTGGCGGCTGCTGCCCCCAGCTTCGCGACGGCTTTGGGAAATTTCGAAGTTCGGTCGAGCCTGGAGCGTAAAATCCAATTAGACAAGCCGCGCGACCTTTGGTGACTGGGAACCATTTTGTCCGCCTCCCAACCACAAGGCGCACCCAAAAGGCAGCTGCAGGCAACGTCGAACTCTGAGTAATTCACTGTCTTCTTCTTCCACAGCGACTTTTGATTTTTTCTTCCTCCTTCATCTACGAATCCAACTAGATACCCCTCCAGCCCCGGCGCGCGCAACTCGATCTACTTCAGCCTCGCCGCGACACGACCGGTCCACGACATCTTTTTTTCCCACGCATGGGAACGAATCACGCGTCCCGAAGGGGCCATTGACGCCGCCATGTCTGGCACCACCATTGATGATATTGTCAAGCGACTCAGCACTCCCGAAACAGGTATGCTCCGCCGCGACCTTTGCATCCTCCCTCTCCCCCACAATGCGATCTCACGATGCACGACCCCGCTGAGAGGCGCATCGCTTCTGACGGTGAATTGTCTGACATGTGACGTCAACAGATGCAAGAGTCAAGGTAGAAGCGGCGACTACCTTACGCGACAGTATCGACCACTACATTAACGGTCCCATCTACGCACCATTCCTGAAGAAGCTCGTCCCAATCTTCATCAACACCCTCAGAGGACCATGCATCTTCCAGAGCAGCTCCCCGGAGCAGGTAAGCTGCTGTGTTGCACAAGGTGGTACGTACCCTGCTGACCTTGATGGAAGAAACTCCGGAACTGCATCCTCGAGATCCTCCACCGACTGCCGACGACGCCGACACCCCCCGAGGCCTTCGAACCCTACGCCGAAGAAGTCGTCGACCTGTTGATGCAATTGGTCCGGACGGACAATGAGGAAAATGCGACACTGTGTGTTAAGATCATATCTGATGTCATGCGCCATCAGCACAAGGTCTTGCAGGGCAAGGTCCAGGCGTTCCTCAACCTGATCCAGGAGCTCTTTGAGCAGATGGAGAAGGTCGTCCGCGAGCAGTTGGACAACACCTCTCTTGCCACGGCATCAAGCTCCGGAGCCCCGTCGACCCCAGGAAGCTCTCAAACGAATTTCCAATCCCCTCGACCGGGCTCGCCCGTCGCGTCTGTCACAGATCTTGGTCCGGATCCCCAACAACAGAACCGGATGCTGCTGAAGGGCATGCAATCTTTCAAGGTCCTGTCAGAATGCCCAATCATAGTGGTTTCTGTCTTCCAAGTATACCGCGCGACCGTCGCTACGAACGTTAAGGCCTTCGTTCCGCTCATCAAGGGGTTCTTGTGCCTTCAGGCAAGCGCTCAGAAGCAGGCTCATGCCGACGCCAAGGCCAGGGGTCAAATCTTCACAGGAGTCAGCCCTCTTATTAAGAACAGAGCCGCCTTTGGAGAGTTCATCACCGCTCAAGTCAAGACCATGAGCTTTTTGGCCTACCTCTTGCGCCAGTACTCTCAGCAACTCACCGACTTCCTCCCGACCCTCCCCGAGATTGTGGTACGGCTTCTCCAGGACTGCCCGCGTGAGAAATCAGGCGCGCGCAAGGAGTTGCTTGTTGCTATCAGGCATATCATCAACTTCAACTTTAGAAAAATCTTTCTCCCTAAGATTGATGAACTCCTCGACGAGAAGACTCTCATTGGCGATGGCCTGACAGTATACGAGACGATGCGGCCATTGGCCTACAGCATGCTTGCGGACCTGATCCATCATGTCCGCGACAGCCTCACACCGGAACAAATTCGGAAAACGGTCGAGGTATACACCAAAAACCTGCAAGACAACTTCCCGGGAACAAGCTTTCAGACTATGAGCGCCAAGCTTCTACTCAACATGGCGGAGTGCATCGCCAAGATGCCCAACAAGGTCGACGCACGGCACTACCTCATCATGATCCTGAACGCCATCGGTGACAAGTTCGTGGCTATGAATCGACAATACCCCAATGCAGTGAAGCTCTCGAAACTCTACGCCCAGCAGGCCGCTGACGGAACCCAGGACAGCTACCTCGCAGAAAAGGACCACCCTCCGGATTGGGATGAGACAGATATCTTCACTGCCATGCCCATTAAGACTTCAAACCCTAGAGATCGAGGGGCAGATCCCGTTGTTGACAACAAGTTCCTCTTCAAGAACCTGATGAACGGTTTGAAGAACACCTTCTACCAGTTGAGGACCTGCAACGTCAACACCAACGTTGACCTGACAAACGCACCAGCACACTGGCAGGACGTCGCCTACGGTTTCACTGCCGAAGAAGTCAACGTCATTGTGAAGCTGTTCAGGGAGGGAGCATATGTCTTCCGCTACTACGAAATCGAGAAGCCCGCCACCGAGTCTCAGTACATGTCACCAGTCGAGTACATGGCCAACTTCTACATGGTCTCTAGCAGCAAGGAAGAAAAGGAACTTCTTGAGACCTTTGCAACCGTCTTCCACTGCATAGACCCCGCCACTTTCCACGAAGTCTTCCAGCAAGAGATTCCTCACCTGTATGACATGATCTTTGAACACACCGGTCTGCTCCATATCCCCCAGTTCTTCCTCGCCAGCGAAGCTACTTCACCTAGCTTTTGCGGTATGCTGCTGCGCTTCCTGATGGAACGGATTGACCAAGTTGGTTCAGCGGACGTGAAGAAGTCGTCGATTCTTTTGAGGCTGTTCAAGCTGGCGTTTATGGCCGTCACATTGTTTGCCAACCAGAACGAGCAAGTCCTTCTTCCTCACGTTGTGGATATTGTTACCAAGTCCATCGAGCTTTCAACCAAAGCGGAGGAGCCAATGAACTACTTCCTCCTGTTGAGGTCACTGTTTAGAAGCATAGGTGGTGGGAAGTTTGAGCACCTCTACAAGCAGATTCTGCCGCTTCTCGAGATGCTCCTGGACGTCCTCAATAACCTGCTCATGGCAGCAAGAAAGCCTGCCGAACGGGATCTCTACGTTGAATTGTGTTTGACAGTGCCTGCGAGGCTGAGTAACCTGTTGCCACATCTCAGCTTCTTGATGCGACCACTTGTCGTTGCGCTGCGAGCTGGAACCGATCTCGTTGGTCAAGGGCTGCGGACACTAGAGCTCTGTGTCGACAACCTCACTGCAGACTACCTCGACCCGATCATGGCGCCAGTTATTGATGAGTTGATGACAGCCCTATTTGACCATCTTAAGCCGCATCCCTATAGTCATTTCCACGCTCACACGACTATGCGCATATTGGGCAAACTAGGAGGCCGCAACCGCAAGTTCATGACCGATGCACAACCCCTCTCGTACAAGAACTTCGCCGACGACCCTACCAGCTTTGACATCCGCCTCGTTGGTTCCAAGAAGGACAGAGCGTTCCCTGCTGAGACCGGTGTGGACTTTGCGATCAGGAAGTTGATGGAACAGCCAAAGGGCAAGGGCAGCCAGTCTCGCCAATATGACGCTTACTACAAGAAGCAGTCGTTTCATTTCATCAAGTCTCAGCTCAAGATGAGAATCGGCTTCGAGAACTTGCCCGACGACCTGCCAAGGCTGGTGCGTCTCCAGGCTCAGGACTTGCTTCACAAGAAGATTGACTTTGACTTCGCCGCCTTCGAGACATCTGACCGGGACAGATCGATACCCAAGAAGGACGAGCAGGATGACTTGCTCCGGCGTTTGCTCAAGGCCATCATGTTTGCCGAGTCCTTGCCAGAGTTCAAGGAAGAGGCTAATGCTTTCCTCATGAACATCTGCAGACACTTCACCATCATTGAGGTTGGACGCACTCTGATTGAAATGAAGCGAGTCCTGAGTCCATTCAATCCGAAGGCCGGAGAGGGTCCATTGTTCATTGACACTCGGGTGTTCTCTGATGCCATTGTGGAGTCTTTGGCTTCAGACCATCCGGATGTGCGAGAGGCTGCGCAGCGCGCGATTCGTGAGGTTTACGACTCTGCCGCCACAATTTTTGGATCCGACCAAAACGTGGCAAGGCTAGCGTTCTTCAGTCATCTGAGCTCTTCCTTCTGCCATGGCTGCTACGAAGAGGAGTGGTTCACCAAGACAGGCGGTTCTCTCGGCATTAACTTCCTTTTGACTGAGCTGGACCTTGGCGACCAATGGATCTTGAGCAAACAGACTGAGTTCATCAGAGCGCTCATGTACGTCATCAAGGACATGCCCCAGGATCTTCCGGAGAAGACGAGAAGATCTGCGCAAGCCACGTTGGAGACACTGCTTCACAGGATTACGAAGAATATCAAGAAGGAAGACGCCCTGCCCCCTCAACCCTCGGCTCAAGGTCAAGCGCCCCAAAGATCCCGCCTCGCTCAGATCTGCATGCAATTCAACACCGAGTTGTCGCACATGAATCGCCACGTTCGTGAGACCGCCAAGCGATCCCTGGAGCTGATCGCCAAGGCAGCCGGCTGTGCCGTATGGGAGGTGATTGAGCCTTACAAGGAGCGTTTCCTCCAACCCATTTATTCCAAGCCTCTCCGCGCCTTGCCGTTCCCCATCCAGATCGGCTACATCGACGCCATGACATACCACATGACCTTGAGAAAGGAATGGGTAACGTTTGACGACAACTTGAACAGACTACTTATGGAGTCGCTGGCTCTGGCTGACGCCAGCGACGAGTCTTTGGCCAACAAGCCGGGGGAGTTCAGAACACACGAGTACATCGTGAACCTTCGGGTCGCCTGCATCAATATTCTCAGCACAGCGACCAGTTTCGAGGAATTCGCTCCGCTGAAACAAGGCAGCCACCCAACTCGTTCAAAGGTTGTGTCGGTCTTTTTCAAGTGCCTCTATTCGGACTCCAAGGCAACGATCGATGCAGCAAACAGCGCCCTCAAAAACACGCTGGAAGCACATCAAAAGTTGCCCAAGGACCTGCTTCAGGGAGGTCTTCGACCGGTGCTGGCCAGTCTGCAAGATGCCAAGAAGCTGACTACACACGGGCTCGACAACCTCGGTCGCCTCTTGAAGCTCCTTACTACATACTTCAAGGTGGAGATTGGCGCCCGTCTACTCGACCATGTCAAGGTTCTCGCCGCCCCAGAGGTGCTTCAACCAATCGCCTTCACGTTTTTTGAGCAGAACCAACAAATGAAGATCGTTGCAGCAGTCTTCAATATCTTCCACCTCCTGCCACCACAAGCAGAAGGGTTCAAGCAGAGACTGATCGATCTGTCTCTGGAGCTTGAGGAGAAGCTTCGTCGCACCCACGAGAGCCCATTCCGCGCGCCTCTTTACAAGTTCATCAATCGCTATCCTAATGAGGTCTGGACGTATCTTCTGCCCAAACTTGAGGATCTCAAGTATGGACGATTCCTTTCTCAGGTCATCCGACATCCAGAGAGTGCTCCTCTGCGAGAAACAGTGGCTGGCAATGTACAAGCCCTGATCGACTTTTGCAACAGCACCATCCAACAGAACAAGGACACAAAATTTGTCGCCGTTGTAAACGCCATCCAAGTCCTCTATTCTTTGACTCTGTCAACTGGGTTAGACGCTTGGTTGGAGAAGAAGGAGCACCTCAACTGGCTGAAGGGTGTTGGCAAAGAACTGGAGAAGCAAATGCGAGCACACACTCTCTCGCCCAACCTCAGACTTCCTGCATGCCAAGCATCAGAGCAGTTGATGTCCATCTTCATCAAGTCGCTGGAGCGCAATCCGCGAGATCTCGAATCTCTCTTCAGTCTGGTGGACTCTGTGACCACGGACGACTTCCGCACTTCGCAGCCCCTGATAACTTACATTTACAAAAACATCATCAACAGCGACTCGGTGGAGTTCTGGAAGGCCACGGTACTCAAGTGTCTGGAATCCTATCCCGCCAAGAATGTTTCTCAGAAGATGAAATGCTTCCTCCTGCACAACATTGTGAATCCAATCGTTGCCATGGATGTCCAGCGACACTGGAATCAACCTCCCCAAACCAAGGGCCGGTTCATGGACAAGGCCATCATCGATGCGATCACCGCTAAGATCTGGAAAACGCATCAGGACACAAGCCAGCATGACTACGACGATGTCGCACAGCCTGGCATCGACCACACTAAGTTTGAGGTTCTCCAGCTGTCGGCTATGCTGGTGAAGTACCACTCCCACATCTTCCAGGAGGCGAGAAAGGATATCATTAAGAGTTGCTGGACTTTCATCCGCCTTGACGACGTTATCAACAAACATGCTGCCTATGTCGTTATAGGATACTTCATTGCCTTGTATGAGACACCAGTCAAGATCGTCACTCAGGTGTATCTATCCCTGTTGCGAACCAACCAAAACGAGGGTAGAGCCCTTGTCACGCAAGCACTTGAGTTGATTGCACCGGTCTTGCCGAAACGCCTTGGGACCCAGCCCAATGACCGAAACGCCGGCTGGGCGTTGGCGCCACGAAAGATTCTCGCGGACGAAGGCCAGAACGTGCAGCAAATGACAAGCATCTTCCACTTCCTTGTCAAGCACCCCGACCTGTTTTACGAGTCTAGGGATAAGTACGCTATGCTCATCATCCAGTCTCTGAGAAAGGTTGCTGCCCCTCCCAACCCATCCAACGAGTCGAAGAAGCTCGCTCTCAACATGATGTGGTTGATCTGGCTCTGGGAACAAAGACGCGTTGAGGGCAAAGGCGACGCCGTGACACGCTCAATCTCCGAATCGCCACAGTCCAAGAAGCGGAAGCTGGACAGCGACCAGCCCATGTCCTCGCCTCCAGCCGCTAGGCAGGCACCTGAGAGGGCGGAATACGTCATTCCAGTGATTGGTCGGCAGAGAATGGTCAAGTACCTCGTTGAGTTTATCGCCCAACTCAATGAGCGTTACCAGCTTCCCTCCACACGGACGAGAGATTCCGTTGCCACGAACGGCCCGGCTATGCCGCCTGCTTCCACCGAACTGTGCAAGAAGGCCATGTCTCTATTCTATAACCTCCTTCAACCTCAGTACTGGGGAGATCTGGACGTTGATCTCTTTCCTAATGTCACCGATGTTGTTCTGGCCAGCGAGAAGACGCAGAACATTCTTTCAGCAGACCCTGCCGACAAGGAGAAGTTCGATGAAAAGTTCATTACGAACATCATTAACACTCTCCAAGTTGTTCGCATTATTCTCAACTTCAAATCGGACGACTGGATCGCGCGAAACATGACCCACGTTCAGAAGGTTTTGGACAAGGCTCTCAAGAGCGAAAATCCCGAGCTTCAGGATTGCTTGCATCTCGCAGACAAGAAATACGATGACGACCGCGATATCAAGTCGACGATCAAGCGAGTCCTTGATGCGGTACCAGAGGATCTTCCAATGGAAGACGCCGATGCCGAGGGCGAATCCGAATCCCAGAACTCGGAGATTATACAGTCTCTTTCGACCATCGCCGGCGAGGCAATGGCTGCTGGCCACTATGGATCCGGAGTCAATATTCTATGGTCCCTCGGCAACCGAAAGCCTACAGTCATCGACCAACACATCCCTGTGCTGATGAAGGCCTTGCAGAGCAAGCTTGCGCGTGAGCATGTTCAGCACTACACTGCCGTTGCCAATCACCAGCCTGGCCAGCCTCCTCGAGCGCAAGATCCCAACGCGCCCACTGGAGAGATGTCGAGCTACGATCTTGAAGTTTCCACAAGCCTCATGCTCAAGGCTATTCAAGTCGTTGCTCTGCGGATGGAAGTCCTGGGTGATAACAGACGCCCTTTCCTTAGTGTTTTGGCCACACTTGTCGAGAAGTCTATGCACATTCCCCTTTGCGAAGAAATTCTTAACATGGTAGAAGGCTGGGTTTTCCGCTCTGAAGGCACTTGGCCTACTCTTAAGGAAAAGACTGCGGTGCTGCATAAAATGCTTTCTTTCGAACATCGACAAGACCCTACCATGCTCACGAAATTCTTGGAGTTGGTCATTCGCATTTACGAGGACCCCAAGATTACGAGGACAGAGTTGACGGTGCGCATGGAACATGCCTTCCTCATCGGCACCCGTGCTCAAGATGTTGAGATGCGGAATCGGTTCATGACGATCTTCGACAAGAGTCTCTCCAAAACGGCTAGTGCCCGACTTGCCTATGTGCTTACATCTCAAAATTGGGACACTTTGGGCGAAAGCTACTGGTTGGCCCAAGCGTCGCATCTTCTCCTCGGTGCCGTGGAATTGAATAACAGCATCCAGCTTCATCATGAAGACTTCAAGACGCTGTCCATCAGCCAGCTCTTCTCGATTCATGCCAGGGACACCAGAGAGCCTGTCAACATGTCGGATGACAAGTTTGACGCGCTGATGGCCTCCCACCGACGCTTCATGATCGAGCTTGGGGATGTAAAGGTTCGCGATCTCATTGAGCCCTTGACTCAGCTCCAACACGTCGACAACACGCTGGCTCATCAGCTGTGGATTTCTCTGTTCCCTATCTACTGGTCTGCGACGATGAAGGAAGAGCGCACAGATCTCGAGCGTGGCATGGTTGCCCTCCTCACCAAAGACTACCACAGCCGCCAGATCGATAAGCGACCCAATGTCGTTCAATCTCTCCTCGAAGGTGCTGCCAAGGCATGGCCCGACTGCAAGATCCCACCGCACGTTCTGAAGTATGAGGCGAAGACGTATGACGCCTGGTACACTGCCCTTGTTCAACTCGAGAATGCTGCGATCAAGCCAGAAGTTGAGTCGGCAGTTGTCAGAGAAAGTAACCTGGATGCCCTCGTGGAGTTGTACGCTTCATTGCAGGAAGACGATCTGTTCTATGGCACGTGGCGCAGACGTTGCCAATTCGTCGAGACAAATGCGGCCTTGTCTTACGAACAGAACGGAATGTGGGATAAGGCCCAAAAGATGTATGAGGCCGCTCAAATCAAGGCGCGCACCGGTGTTATCCCATTTTCTCAAGGAGAATACGTTCTCTGGGAAGACCACTGGGTGCTGTGTGCTCAGAAGCTGCAACAATGGGAGATCCTCCAGGACTTTGCCAAGCACGAAAACTTCCAGGATTTGCTTTTGGAATGCGCCTGGAGAAACAACACGGAGATGTGGCAGACCCAAGAGCATAGAGAGGCCTTGGACAACCTGATTAAGGGTGTCATGGACGCACCTACTCCTCGTCGGGCTTTCTTCCAGGCCTTCATGTCGCTTTTGAAGTACTACAATAAGCAGGAGACACCTCAGGAATTCGCCAAGTCTTGCGATGAGGCCATTCAGCTCTCTATTCGGAAGTGGCACCAGCTTCCGAAGCAACTCACGAAGGCTCACATCCCGCTTCTCCAGAACTTCCAGCAGCTGGTCGAGTTGCATGATGCCAGCGTTATCTGTAACAGCCTTGCTAGCACCAACCAGTCCAATCTCGATGTCAAATCAGGAGAACTCAAGCTGCTGCTCGGTGCTTGGCGTGATCGTCTGCCCAACGTTTGGGACGATATTACTGCTTGGCAAGATCTCGTCACCTGGCGTCAACACATATTTGGTCTCATCAACCAGACCTATCTGCAGTTGCTACCTCAAGGGGGTGGTCAGAATGCTAGTGGCGCGTCTTTCGCATACCGTGGTTACCACGAGACGGCTTGGATCATCAATCGGTTCGCGCATGTTGCTCGCAAGCATAGTCTGCCTGAAGTTTGCATCACGCAGTTGAGCAGGATCTACACTCTCCCTAACATTGAGATCCAGGAAGCTTTCCTCAAGCTCAGAGAGCAAGCCAAGTGTCACTACGAGAACCCAGAAGAACTCACGAGCGGGTTGGATGTGATCAACAACACAAACCTCAACTACTTCAACCCGCCGCAAAAGGCCGAGTTTTATACGCTGAAGGGCATGTTCCTCGAGAAGCTCAAGCAAAAGGAGGAAGCTGATTCCGCTTATGGAACGGCGTTGTATTTCGACATTACCGCTGCCAAGGCTTGGGCAGAATGGGGTTACTTCAACGAACGCAAGTACAAGGAGGATCCATCAGACATCAACTCTGCACGACAAGCTCTCACGTCGTACCTGCAAGCTGCCGGAAGCTACAAGAACGCAAAGTCGCGGAAGCTCATTGCCCGCATCCTGTGGCTTCTCAGCCTTGACGATGCCAATGGATCGATCGCTGCCGGCTTCGACGACTTTAAGGGCGAAACCCCTGTCTGGTATTGGATCACCTTTATTCCCCAGCTTCTTACCGGTCTCGGCCACAAGGAAGCCCCAAGGGTGCACCAGATCCTCGTCAAGATTGCCAGGTCCTATCCCCAGGCGCTCTACTTCCAGCTTCGCACTAACAGGGAAGACATGTTGGTTATCAAGAAGAACCAAGAGGCTAAGGAGAAGGCCCGCCAGCGCGCTCAGTCCGCACAGTCCAACGGCAAACCCAGCGCATCACCACAACAACCCAAACAAGACGGTGTTGCGAAGCCTGATGCCTCCGGCTCAAGACCTGGAACTGCCAGCGGTGGTGATGCGAATGCCGCCGTCAAGACTGAGGGCAATGATGCCAACGGCACTGCCGCCACAGGCGACCAGGCATCGGGTGCTGGTCAGAAGAAGCCGCCTTGGGAACTTACGGAAGAGATCATGAGTGCTTTGAAGACAGCCTTCCCTCTACTTGCACTGTCAATGGAGACCATGGTCGACCAGATTCAGAAGAACTTCAAGTGCCCTCCCGACGAAGACGCCTACCGACTCATCGTCGCCCTTCTCAACGATGCTCTGGCATACGTCAGTCGCATGCCTTCTTCCTTTGCCAAGGACGTCAAGCTTCCTTCCGCGACCGAGACTAACATTACCCGCTTCGCTGAAACTATTCTGCCTCCTCACATCAAGAAATCGTTTGAAGCAGATTTTGTGGAGTTCAAGCCGACAATGCACGAGTATATTCACAAGCTCCGCCGGTGGCGCAACAAGTTTGAAGAGAAGCTTGACCGCAGAACTACCCGCGTCTCCTTGGAGCAATTTTCGCCACATCTGTCAGAGTTCCGTTACCAGAGGTTTGACGATGTCGAGATCCCTGGACAGTACTTGCAACACAAGGACAAGAACCAGGACTTCATTCGCATCGAGCGGTTCTTACCCAACGTTGAATTGGTAAGATCCATCAGCGCATCGTACCGCCGCATCCAGATGCGCGGACACGATGGAAGCGTCCATTCTTGGGCTGTCCAGCATCCCGCCGCAAGGCATTGCCGCCGCGAGGAGCGCATCTTGCAGTTGTTCCGACAATTGAACCAGACCCTAGGCAGGAGAAAGGAGTCCCGTCGCCGCGATCTCCAGTTCACTCTTCCCTTGATGGTACCTCTGGCGCCTCATATCCGCATCGTTCAGGAGGACACTTCATACATCACTCTTCAGAGCGTCTACGAAGATCACTGCCGGCGTCACGGCATGTCCAAGGACGATCCCGTGCTCTTCACCATGGAGAAGCTTCGCGGCGTCCTCGACACGAAGAACTCGAAGCATGCTGAGCAAAGCGCGACTGCACGTCTTGAAGTGTTCCACGCCATCCAGGAGAAGTGGGTTCCTCACAACTTAGCCCTGGAATACTTCCAGCGAGCCTTCCCCGATTTCACGGAATTCTGGCTGTTCAGGAGACAATTCTCATACCAGCTTGCCGCCCTCACCTTTATGACATACATCCTCTACATGCATAACCGATACCCGCAAAAGATCAACATCGCCCGTGGATCCGGTAACATTTGGGGTTCAGAGCTCATGGCCTACATGAGCGCCGCCAAGCCTTTCTTCCATAACCCGGAGCCAGTACCATTCCGTCTGACGCCCAACCTCCAGACGCTCATGGGACCTTTGGCGACAGAAGGCATTTTCAGCTGCGCTCTGATGGCTATCGCGCGCTGCCTCACGGAGCCCGAGTACGAGTTGGAGCACGCCCTCACATTGTTTGTGCGCGATGAGATGATCTTCTGGTTCACGAGCTCCCACCGAACGGTCCAGATGACGGAGAACCAGCTCCGCGAGTCTGTTCAGGTCAACAGCGACTCAGTCGTGAAGCGTGCAGTTAGCCTGGCGCAGAGCCCGGTTGGCAATCTACCAGCCAACCAAACGGTGATTGATCTAGTAGCTAAGGCCGTCAATCCCATGAACTTGGCCCAGTGCGATGCGCTCTGGATGCCGTACTTGTAAGACGCCGGCTTGGGGGAAAGCTGGCGGAAAGGAATGGAGAGGAGAGGAGAAGATGATTATACTGTTGATTGATCTTGTTTTCTGTACTATTTGAGCAAGGCGTTCTGGGATGCGATGGGGACGGAGGAAAAGGCATCCGATTCTGCGTTGGGAGAGTTTGGGAAATTGAACCTTAGATGACGATTCCCTGTTGTACTTGTACGGCCTAAAAGTTAGGCCCATCATCAGACCCCTACTGGAGCAAGTTTGCTCCGCTAATCAGACTGTTTATTTGTTGAAGAACTGAAGTTGAATTTGCCTTTGAATTGATGAGTTGATGTGCTTTGAGTTTTGGACGAACTGAACCTTCAGGCGCAGCCTTAGGGAGGCGGGAACCGGGGAACTGGGGTCGACCTGGGGTTCGGTTGCAGGTCCAACACCGGGAAGTCGGTGACAGTCCGAACTCGCTAGTCAGTGGTCGGTCTACCACAGCCGATATCCCTGTCACCTCGAAAACACCCCGGTCAAACGCCTTTGAACGCCCTTATCAACGGCCACCGGCGGAGCCAAGCTTGAGCTTCCTTATCGGGGCACCCTTCTTCGAGATGGATGACGATTTGTAATCCCGGGGTTCAACTGGGGCCCCTCGATTCTTTCGTTTTTGGTATCTTTTCCTCTTTCCCTACTCTCACTCTATCTTTATATCGGTCTCATCTCTCATATCGTTGGGAATTCGAGTCGGACGTCGTTTCGGTCTAGAGAATCTTGGCCAACCCCGTTACACGACAAACGCCCAACCACTACGACGGGACACACGGTCACTTTTGTTCCCATGCCGCCGATGCAACCGACAACAGCTCTGCCGTTCAAGCCATACCGCTCACCATCGTCAAAGATGTCTGCCGCTGCAATGGACAAGAAGCCGCCCCTGAACCTGGAGCACCATTACTCCGATGTGACCAAGGCGAGAGAGCCGAGCAAGATGAAGGAGTACTACAAGTACTTTCAGATTCCGGGCATTGGTCAACTAGCTGGAGGTGAGTTTCTGAGCCTCTATGTCTTCACTTCTTTTCATTGCAAACCACACATTGGATATGAAGACGGCACTGCTGGTGGTTGCATGGCGTCAATCGGTGCCATGTCGCGTGCGTGTCGTGCGGGAAGGATGCCGCAATACATGCCGCAATATACACCTTCCGTGGCGTGCTTCCACCACCATGTTGCGCAACACCAATTCCCAATCCCAGTTCACCAACCGATCCCGGCACAACGCCCCAGGCACCTGAGTCGCTAACCAATCGGGCGCCCCAGGTCTTCCTCATTCGAGCTTGTTCCCGTTCGACACCCTCGAGGCGCAGGCCGCGAAGCCCGAAAGATGGGAGCCGTCTCCGATCCCCGACGCCACCTTTAGCGCACCCAACGGCGCCGCAGCAGCAACACTGCCGATCCGGGGCAAGACATCCGGACGTGACAAGACGGAGGACGTCAAGGCGGCGCGGCACGTCACCGTCCCCGGTAGCGATGCCGAGCTCGATCCGCTCCGGCGCATTGACGTCGCAACGGCGCTGCAGTACGGCACTGCCGAGGGCTACCCTCCCCTGCGGTCTTTCGTGAGGCAGTTTACCAGGGAGCACCTGCATCCCAATGTGCCTTACCTTGGCGGTCCTGAGGTCATTCTCAGCTGCGGTTCCACGGATGGCTTTTCCAAGACCTTGGAGCTTCTGACGAACCCATGGAACCCTGCGAAGAATGACATCAGGGATAGACAGGGCATGTTGTGCGAGGTCTTCGTGTATAGTCAGGTTCTGACGCAGGCGCTCCCTCGCGGCGTGCAGGTTGCGCCTGTCGAGATGGACAACGTGGGCATGATTGCCTATGGTCCTGGCGGTTTGGATGAGTTGCTGTCTGGCTGGGATGAGGCTAATGGTCGGCGGCCGCATTTCCTGTACACTGTGACGTGAGTTCTCCCCTGCATACGACGTTGCGGATTAGTGTTTGCTGACATGGGATCTCAGCATGGGCCACAACCCAACTAGCGGCGTGCTCCCTGTTGAGCGTCGCAAGGAGATTTACGAGATTGCCAGCAAGTACGACGTCATCATTGTCGAAGATGACCCGTACTGGTACCTGCAGTACCCGTCCGCTGCTGAGGATGAGGCCAGGCACAGGGGCCTGCCCGTTCCCGCCACTGCCTCGACTTACAAGCCCGTCAAGTCGTCGGGATACCGGTTCCTGGACTCGTTGACGCCATCATTCTTGAGCATCGATGTTGACGGCAGAGTCATTCGTCTCGATACCTTCTCCAAGACGATTGCTCCCGGATGCCGGTTGGGCTGGATCACCGCCCAGCCGGCCATCATCGAGCGTCTTCTAAGGTACGCCGGTCCGCTCTCTCACACACAACCCAAAACGCTGATCGAGTCATAGGATTACCGAGGTCACGACACAACAGCCCTCCGGCTTCGTCCAGTCCACCGTCGCAGAGCTGGTCATGGGCGAGCAGCCCCCGGCCGTGCGATCCGCCTTCGCAGCCCTGACGTCGCGCCAGAAGCAGACGTTCGAGGGCTGGAAGATGGACGGCTGGGTCCGCTGGCTCGAGGGCCTCCGCGGCGTCTACGAGCGCCGCATGAACCGCATGTCCTCCATCCTCGACGACGGCGCCGTCCAGCTCAAGCAGTCGACGCCGCGCAGCCTCGAGGACGCGGACTGGGGCGTCGTCAGCAAGACGCGGCTGTACGACTTCGACTGGCCGCGCGGCGGCATGTTCATCTGGCTGCGCTTGCGCTTCGAGACGCACCCGCTGTGGATGGCCACAGGCGGCAAGATCCTGCCGCTGATTGACGGCGAGAAGCTGTCGACCGCGCTCATGATCTACGCGACGCAGAAGCCGTTCCGCGTGCTGGTGAGCCCTGGGATGATGTTCAGTGCCACGCCTGCGATCCGGGCGGAGAGGGGATGGGCGTACTTCCGGCTGTGCTTTGCGGCGGAGACGGAGGAGAATGTGGATCGCTGCTCGGAGAGGCTTGCCGAGGCCATTCAGAGGTTCTGGAGGCTTAAGAAGGTGGAGGATATCGAGGAGTTGATTGGGGATCTGGTGACGGCCCAAGAGGATGCGATGGAGGAGGGACTGGGCAATCTTGGCACTTGGATGGGGTGTTGAGTGGATGTTGAAGCAATAACGAACGTGATGATCTCAGTATTGATGCTTCCGAAACACATGGCTAGATAGCAGGCATGTCACACACTTGAAAGACAGGGTAGAATGCATAGAGAACTTTTTTGTAGCTACCTGACAGTAACTACGTTTGCCCAAAACCCTGACATGTACAAAAGCAAGAAAAAGTCATAATCACGTGTTGGAATTGAGTCGTCACGGTCCAGGGCCAGACCAAACTTTTGTTGCTTTCAAGGGAATCATTTGTCCATTGATGAATTGAGGTCAACATTTCCTAGTTGCCATTACGCCTCAAGCACAAACCATGCTAAAATGTAGCCCCGTCCGTTTCAGAAACCTCCGTTCCACCACCGTCGTCAAAAACACCCTACCGAGGAAGTAATTTACTTCTTCTCGGCAGCCTTCTTGGCGAATACCGAGGCGTAGGGGTTCAGGCGGAGCATGACCTGCTTGTTCTTCAGGGGGTTCTTCTTCTGGACCGCGGAGCGGCGGGTCAGAGCGTAGCCCTTGGGCTCGTTGAGCGCGGACTGGGTCTCGGAGCTGTTGATGATACGGGCAAGGTCGGCCTGGCTGACGATGTTGGACGGCAGCAGGAAGTCCTTCTTGAGGGCGCTGGGGGTGGTGGTGGAGCCGTAGATGGTGTCCAGGGCCTTGAAGGCAGCGGAGGTCCAGACGACGAAGCGGCCGAGGTGGCCACCGGGGGCGAGCTGGAGAAGGTTGAGGGCGGTGACGGGGGAGGACTCGACACCGGGGATGTTGCGGAAAGCGGTGACGAGCTCCTTGCCGTCGACCTCGGGGTCGTAGATGACAAGGGGACCGCGGCGCTGGCGGAAGCGGCGGCCACGGAGCTTGCCCTTACCGGCGCGGAGCTTCTTGGAGCCCTTAACCTTCTCGACGTCCTCGCCGGCACCGACGGTCTTCAGGAGAGCGACGGCAGCGGAGGTGCGGGCGACAGCGGCGTTCTCGAAGAGAGCGGAGTCGACGACCAGGGGAACCTCGGGGACGGAGGAGATCTGGTGACCGCGGGCCTGGAGGAGAGGGGCAACGCCGGAGGCGGCGATGGCGGAGACGGTAGCGTAGCGTCTGGAAGACTTGTTAGAATCGTCGTTCTCGTATATTTCCCAGTTCTTTCCCCGCGGTGGGGCCTGGAGAAAATCTCACCTCTGGCCCTGGTTGACCTTGACGTGCCACTTGCGCCAGGTCTTGGTAGGGGCGAACATGCGACCGGAACGGCACATGTTACCGAAGGCGGCCTGACCGGCACGGTGAGTACCACCACCGGAGACACGGGGGATACGGGCAACAGCACGACCTGTTTGATGTTTCCGTCAGCATGGTGTTCCTCTCCCATCATCTCAGCAGCGCCTCTCAATCTCTTGTCGCAGGACTCGGGTATGGAAGAAAAAAAAACTTGGGCTCGAGCCCTCGGGCAGTTGGTCCAGCAGCAGCATTTCCGGCTCCTTCACGAACTTTCCTGCCCGAGGTCCCTCGCCAACGTTTTCCAATGCGACCCTCTCGCCCTCCCTTCCAAGCAGATTCTTCTCGCGCGCGTTCGAATTGCCGGGGAGCACTAACCAGTTCCCCAAGACTCAGCAGAGGTCTGGTGACCGGCCTTCTCGGAGACGGAGTAGGGCTGGCGCTTGTTCTTGGCCATGCCCTTGTGAACCTCCTGGACGATATCGGGACGGATAGGGCTCAGGAAGACGGCCGGCAGAGTGTGGGTGTTGCCGGAGGACTTGCCATCCTTGCCGATGATGGTGACGGTAGGTCTCGAAGCCATTTTTGATCGTTGATTGACCCTGTCGACGGAAGGACGGATTAGTTGTCTGCGAAGTGGGAAAAAGAGAAAGAGAAAGAGGAGAAGAAAATTCCAATTGCCGGGACGCCTTGCTGGTAGGGTGAACTTTTCGAGAGGAGATGGGGACCTAGAAAAATTCGCACGTACCTGGGTCAACGGTGGGCTTCAGTGCTGCTGGGTTAGTGACGGGGTTGAAGTTTGGCACTTTCTGCGTTCGCGATAAAATTGAATGATTTTTTTTTCCCTCTGGCTGCGTTTGGTGGGCGGAGACCCTAAGGTACGTACCGCTGTTAGCGAATCGAGCCCGGGTTGGGAATTAGGGTCACGTGTGGCGGCGGGTCACAGTGTTGGAAGTCTCGCCGGGACGAACTGCTCCACATCGGCCCCTCATCGATTGTCCACCGATGAGATTTTGAGGGACTCATGTCTGCCAATTGTGTTGTCGTAATGTCAAATACTGAGCCTGACCGTCCTTCGCCGGGGCATATTCCAATGCGCCTTCAATCTGGAGCCCCTTTGTCAACAATGGCTGATGGTGCTCACTCTTCATTGAATTGAGGTGCATAGGCTTCTAGTTAGACATACCTGTCCGGGAACTTTATGGGGGACCTGAGCGGCGAGGTGAGAGTGATTGCCGAAGGACTGACGTAGAAGATGACGCTCCCATCGGATTTATCCCACGATCCGATCTTCAGAAGACCATGAGCCCATCTTGCCGGAGTCAACAATACACCTCTTGACTTACAGCCCCTACATATCACACGGGCTGCATAGATATAAAAGACTTACTTTCGAGGACCCTCAATCAGAGTATCGATCATGTTCTCAAATTCAGGTGCTTCTAGGAAGTTGAGAGAGGTCACTGCATTGGTTGTCCTCACAGAGGTGTATGCGTACCCTGCATGCGGTTGGTACTTTGCTACAGAGTACGTAGGAAGGAATGGGGGGGAAAGGCAAAAAAACGTGGACAATATGCGTAAAGTACATGCATTTTTTTTTAATGTTGGTGTAGTATACATAACAACGAATCGGACAAAACACGATGATCACTGCCGTTTACCCACTCCCCAAGCCTACAGCCACAACCACCACCATCATTCCTTATTCAACAACTACCTCCACATCCACAAACCCGACTCCAAAACGCTCCAGATCCGCCAATACGTGTTGCAAAATGAATGGCGTTGCCGACGTTTACGATGCCGGCGCTGTACAATAGGGCGATCGCTATCATGCCGTAGACCACTATCACGGCGTGTCTGTGAAGTGACAACGCGTACCGCGTTCGTGGCCTGACTCTGTTCCGCTGGCTCGACCCAAGAGAGGAGATGACGAGAGGGTCCAGGGCGGGCGTTTGGCGGGTTGGCTCATTGCCTTCGCGGAGAGGTGCTGCCAGTTGAGGGCAAGGATTCTTATGAGTCGTCTGCTCACACGGGAGACGATATGGCCATGGTGGGAAGAGGACTTGGGCGGCGCATGGCCTGACTGGGCGGACCCAAAAGAATGGAATTGACTGCTTGCCTAGTTTTAACAAGCAACGCTGACGGGAGGGAGGGCACGCTGGCTTTTAAATCGATTACTCGAATGAGAGACCATGTGACTTATACTGGAATCTCGATATGCCCTTACCCCTCAATCCTGAAGAAGCATGGGGGTGGGCAAGGTTCTGAAGTTCGTCAATGAAAACGCAGGGTGCAGGGACAAGCACGCCAGTGAGAGTTTGCGCGCAACGTCAATTGTCGAATGTTTTGTCGTTTTTCGATGGGACGGCAGAAGTGATTCGGTCAGCATCTCAACTCATCGGCATTCCAGGTACGGACGACTTCAAGCTGTGTGGGTGGTGTCCCTTGGTTGGCTGTACCACTTACACCAAAACTCAGTGCAAGATGTGGTCACTTCTCAGAGTGTCGCGCAGCTAAGTAGTAGGTTTACAGTCACAGAGGGCGCCGGAACTAAAAAGGACGTCTGCGTACACTATGGTCGGTATATCGCTATTAAGTAAGTAGTTGACAGTAAGCAGGGAACAGAATAAGGGCAACTTGAAAAGGGCTGGATGAGCAAAAAGAGAACTCGTCCATCGAGTCGGACGGAAACTGCAAAAGAAATGGGCCCTAACCAGGGATCGAACCTGGGACCTCTCCCAAGTTGAGATGTCGAAGACAACCCTAAGGGAGAATCATACCGCTAGACCATCAGGGCAGAGGACACGATCTGTGATCGTTGCAGGGCATTCCCAAAACCGAAAATATGGATCCTCAGTCACTACGCTGCAGCTTCTCTGCGACATCAGGCTTTGGTTAGTAACCTCGAAACTGAGCATCTTGCCCCTGTTAACCCAGCCAACAGCAACCTCAACTGAAATTGTATCTCTCCTGCTCAGCCCATACTCATGCGTATCAACGAAGTCTACCAACGTCCGGCGAATCAACTAAGCTATCGTCGCTATCAGGGGCCCCAAGACCCCTGTCAACACCTAAAAATGGCCCCAGATGGGCCAGAGATAAGCTACGCGTCCAGTGTCGCAATCGACCTTCTCAAAGTCGGCATCCGAGCCTCCTTATTCCCGAGACTATATAAATACTTTTCAAGAACCCTTCGCAGTGTGCACGTTGACCTGCCAGTGGCTTGCGATAACACCCCAAAAATTCAACATTTTCAAGCTTGTCACAGGGGCGGGTTGTCAGTCACATGGTTCATAACACAGAGCCCGTCTACAACACCTGCACCTTCAGCTCGGGCAGCTTAGCTCCGATGGCGGACCTCCGCACCGACGAAACCTCGCCGTTCCTCCAACGGCCTGGTAGTCCAGCGTTGTCCCGAGAGGAGGACCAACGTCAGGAGCAGCACCCCGCGGCCGCACGGAAGCTCACCCTGGTCAACGGCCTGGCCATTGTCATTAGCCTGCAGATCGGCTCGGGCATCTTCAGCGTGCCCTCGCAGATCAGCCAGTTCGTCTCGGCCCCGGGCTACGGTCTGTTGGCATGGCTGTTTGGCGGGCTGCTCGTATGGACAGGCGCGGCGTCCTTCATCGAGCTGGGGTTGAGGATACCCAACAACGGAGGGATCCAAGAGTACCTCCGGGCGTGCTACGGCGAGTTTGCCGGGTTTCTGTTTACATGGGTCTGGTGCACCATCATCAAGCCGGCGGCGAACTCAATGATTGCTACCATTTTCGCCGACTACCTCACCGAGGCGTTCGTCCCGGACAACCAGCCACCGGAGCCCTGGTTATCAAAGGTGGTAGCGGCCGGGTGCATTGTCACAATGACGCTCGTCAACTGTCTGGGCGCAACGGCGGGCGCGAAAGCGGCTAACCTGTTCCTGTTCCTGAAAATGGCTGCCCTTGCAACCATCATTATTCTGGGGTGCGGCGTCTGGGCGTTCGGTCATGGGGAAGGGGTCCCTTCGTCTGAATACGGGTGGTTCGGCCAGCGGCCCGACCAACGTGAGGTTGGTCTGTGGGAGTGGCTAGGAAACTTCGGGACGGCAACCTTTGGGGCTCTGTGGTGTTATGCGGGCTGGGAAATGGTGAGAGTGAACCCTTCTAACTATGCCCGACAACCTGCTGAATGTTCCGTAGGTAGGGTTTGTCGCGGGAGACATGAAGAATCCTCGTAGGGATCTGCCCATCGTGATTAATGGCTCGATGATGCTAGTCATCACTGGCTTCATGCTGATGAATGCTGCCTTGTATGTCTGCCTGCCAATGAGTGTTATGCAGAACAGCAGTACAGTGGCAGTGGTAAGTTTGCAACTCTTGTCAGCCAGCAGATGCTCGTGCTGACATCAGAATAGGAGTTCGCAAATCGGGTTCTCGGCAGCTGGGCCGGTGTCCTCTTCTCCGTAATCGTCTCCATCTCGGCGATGGGCGCTCTGAACTCGAATGTCTTTGCTACCGCCAAGCTCGTAGTTGTTGCAAGCCAGCGAGGTTATTTTCCCGCTGTCTTGGCAAACCTGCATTGCAGCAGTGAGAAGGACGAAGCTGGTTATGTCGATGAACAACTCTCTGCTTTGCCGAGGCTGCTCGGAGGACCTATCAAAGGTTTCGTTTCGTGGACTCAAAACCGACGTTGGCGCAGAAACGTGCCCATGTGAGAGTGACACCACCCAGCCGAGTGTTTGGCTGACGAGAGAAACAGTTTCCCACTGCTGCTGAACTGCGGCTTATCGGTTGTCTACGTTGTCGTGGGTAGCTTCAACGGCCTTGTAACATTCATTGGTATGTACAATCACTCAAGCTCCCAGGTCGTGGACTGACAGAGTGCAGGCCTGGCGGCGTACATGATTTTCTTCTCGTCCGCTGTTGGACTCATTCTGCTTCGACGGAGAGACCGTCGTGCACCAGTAGCAAAAGCGGCCGAGTACAGAACTTGGCTCATCAACCCCATCATTTTCAGTGCCATTAGTGGTCTGTTGGTGGTCAGAGGTGTCATCACGGATCCTTTGCAGGGCGCGGCCATCCTCTTGGTCGCCCTTTTCGGCTTGGCCTTCTTTTCACTCAGATTCGGGTTGCGTGGCTTCACCAACAGGCAAGAGGCAGGATGAAGTTGTGCCCGGCAACGTGTGTCATTAGGGTATTGCAGCATATGCAACATGCTTCCTTCGTCAAAAATTGCATCAACGGCGCGCGTCTGAGCCGGAGCACTGTACTGTGCTCGGACAGTCCTCGACACGCCAGAAAGGCGGCGCAGGATATTCAGACTTCTTACGACGATGGAACTCGAAGTCCCCTTACGAAGAGCGTTGCACAGGCCGAGGTTTACCTGCCTCCCCACGTTTGAGCCAGTACGCAGCCGATGTCATCAACAGCTCGGCGAGCACAGAGAAAGCAAAGAGCCGGATGAGGTCTGTGAAACTTTGGGCGACGGCAGAGTCCGTGTCAGGCTCGAGTGCTTGATCGTTTCCAGGCGGGCGGAATCACATTGTGATACCAATACAAAATATTGAGACCCTGTTGAGGAACCAAAAAAGAGACTGCTGCTCTGTGTGACAACATGCTAGCTGATGCACGGTGCTTAATGAGCTTGGATGACCTCACTCACGGGCCTCCGTGATTGGCTTCAGAAGAATTGACTAGAACGATGTTTATGCTACCGAGGCGACGTGATTGTAAGTTGATGTTCTTGTCACAGCTGACATGTATAGTTGTGGCGTGAGATATGTTGCAATCAAGTTCCCACCGCTCTTTCTTCCCGCGCAGATCATCGGAATAAGGTAGGGTTGACGGATCTTCGCATGACGAGCTGGCGTACATAGTTGCAGCTCTAACAAGTCGAAGACTTTGGATGTTCTAGAAAATTCATACTTAGTAGTGCACCGTTGACGGAGCGTGTGCATGACCCGACTGCAGACGGCGGACGGCGGATAGAGGGCGGGTGAGTGTACATGGTGGTGGGGGTAAAATTGCCGGCGTCTGACACGGTCGCAGCATCTTTGCCTGGCTCGATCGGGATACGTAAGATGGCCCGGGATGCTGCATATTTTCAGTCATTGATCGGGTCCTAGACTCCTCTGATAAGAAATGGTATGTTTCGCCTGCTGCGTGGGTAGGGTTGTGCAAGCCTCACGGCCCGACGACTTTGATGGCGAGGTCGACAGATAGGTGCAGATGTGGTGATGTCGGTTTCATGGCACACTTTGCGCAGCCAACGCCGTTGATCAAAATGTTTCCCGAACGACGCCGCCTCGTGAAACTGGAGACATCGGCCTCCGAATTGGAGCCGGCATTGTGTTGGGTGCTTGCCGCGGTGCCGTTCTGCATCCAATGCCGACTAAGCCTCCCCATCGCCACGACTAGTTGGACGTTGAACCAAGGACAGACGGGCACTCCGCGTGGCGCACGCTCTTGCAGTCTCCAGCCCACTGTAACTGTGCGTATCATTTTGTCTTGACATGTCAAACAAGCCCTCGTACCCAACAACTCCGCACGTCTGGCTCGGTAAGTCTTGTGGTTCACCAGGAGCAGGATATCAGAAGCCATCACGATTGTCCACCGGACGACGGTCGTTGGGAAAGGATGGCAAAGATCAGGCCGCGTCAAGGCAATCCGTGCAACGTGAACAATTGGAAATGGGCAGGCTGGCTGCCGTGGTACCGTGCCAGCTGCAGGCGTGGTAGAAACCAGTCGGCCAAGTGCCAGGCCCAAGACTCATCGAGGTGGAAGACCTAATCGACGGTGCCGGTTGCCCTAAACAGGTTCCCAGCATATGCAGCGTGCAGGCCGGACGTGAGTACCGGCTGTGAAAGTGGAGATGGCTCGATGCAATTGCACCAAGACCTAGGCTTTGGACTTGGGCCGACCGCACTCCCAAGTCACGCTTGAACGTCAGGCTTGGACTCTTGGTGGTGTCGAGGACGGGTCCCATCCAGCCCATCCCACATCCCATCTGCAGGACGCAGCAGACTGCGTCGTAGTGCGTGGGCATGGCCATCATGCTCATGCTGCTGCTGCTTCTACTGCTGCAGGTCGGGGAAAGCGACTAATGATGGCGCAGTATTGATTGGCACGTCGAGAGTGAGTGGTGAAGGAGCTCTTGCTCGCGACGAGACGGTCGCCACTCTCAACCCGAGAACTGAACTGGATGCCCTACTGGAATGGTTCAGTGACAGGCCTTACGTATTGCCAATTGACATGTGTCCGTATTCAACGTCGCCGGCTGTGGAGATTATGATGATGTTACCGCTGCCGGGCCGTTTTTCTGGTTCAAGACATGTGCCGCTGTCCAAGATCAGGTTCATGAACCATCAATGCTGACGGTCGGCTGGAGAACGACATCGACATCGACAACAATAATAAACCTGAGATTGTCGCCTATAGCCATCAACGCCGTTTCGGCAGGACGTGTGTCGCGATAAGCAGAGGGACCCTGCCTTAAACTTTGCATCCAACAACATCCAAGAGTCGCGTTAGGAACGGTGTCACCTCGGTGACCACAGAGCACCGACGGTGTGTGTTGGCGGCTGGTCTTTAACGGCAACGGGGAGCACCGTGGCACACAACACGGGCTGGACTCTGCTGTCGTCGGAGGTGAACGAACGCCCGGGGCATTTGGTGCCATTGGAGGTGGTGGTGGGCGGGCGGTGGTGGCCCTGGACCCGGGCTGGAGGTGGAAGGAAAATAAAAAACAGAAGGCGGTGGAGACGTGCGGTACAAGGTACCGCCCTACAGCAGCCCAGCAGCCCAGCAGCCCAGCCGTCATCATGGAGGGGCACCCCCTCCCACCAATGCCAATGCCATGCACCCCTGCTCGCCCATGACCATGACCATGGCCTTCCATGTTCAAATAAGGACTTCTTGCACCTACGCCGCATCTTCAACGCCGCTCCCCAAAATCCCACCTTCCCCTTCCCCGCCTGACACCACCAGAGACCTTACCTGCCTGCGCTGTCTGTCTTAAGCGATCTCACCTCGCTCGCGCATTCACTCGATCCAGCCGGTCCTACCTTACCAACCGCTTCCGTGTCCAAACCCGTCCGCCCAGATTCCCGTGCCTTCCACCTCCACCCGCAGGCATCTCACCTTAATTAACATCAACGCCTGCTCCCCCCTCCTCCACCCGCCACGACCACTTGGAACTCACTTCTACTCCCGCTCTCATCCTCTGCCGAAATCTGATCTCAACGTATCAAGTCAGCATCACAACTCGGGATTCGATCTACTGGTAAATCAGCTCTGTTGGCTGTGACGATTACCGCCAGTGCGACCCAAGCCCACGTCCCGACCCAAGCTGAGGGACCGAAACGTTGCGCAAGGCTGAGGCGGCCACACAAGAGACCGCATTACGACGCTCCCGCTCTCGCCGAGCCGAGAGACACACGATGCCTTCAAAGACCCCGACATCTTCCTGAGATTCTGTACCTTTTACCTTGGTCATACAGATAACCAAACATGAACGATTCACGCAATATTGAAGATCTTCTACAGACGGGCTATTTCACCACTACTAGGGCCAAGACTCCCAAGCCGTAAGCCGAGCCAAGACCACACATCTCCTCTCCAATGCGCAACCAAAGTTCTGACCCAAACTACAGATCCACCCCGGAGCCCCCGGCCGTACCGCCTCATACATCTACCATAACCCGCTCGAGCTACTACGCCGATGCCGTCGTACCACCACCTCATACATCTACCATAACCCGCTCAAGCTACTACACCGATGCCGAAGTACCGCCTCAGTCATCTACCATAACCCGCTCAAGCTACTACGCCGATGCCTATGTCCCCCGCACATTCGATGCGCCGATAAGGACTTCCCGCCGCAGGAACTACCCGCCTCCCCCAACCTGTGAAGATGAGACAGAGTCACTTCTCAAAGAACACGGCAGCGTCGTGTCGGCGTCCGACGATGAGCCTCCTTCACGAGGAGACGCCGAACAACACCCCATTATCATGGAGGTACATGAATACAACCCTGAACGCCGTTTCGTGATCATTCCGAAATCCGACAGCGAGGGAGGAGACGCAGACTCCTCGTCAGACGACGCAAAATCGCGTTCCTCCGGCGGCTCGCGTTCTGCCAAGACAAGACTCAACGGAGATTATGGCGCGAACACATCAAGGAAATATTATGCGCCGCGGGTTGATGACCCAGACACCGCCAAACGGCCAGGCATTGAGAAGAGAAAGAGCAGACAGGACTTGCCCAAGATCGAGACCGACATCAAAGAAGAGGAGCCGCGTGTTCGGAGACACGAGCGCACGAAGTCAGGCACTCGTGCAGAACAGAAAGCCGACTACTTCTCTGCCCAGTACGACAAGCGGCAACCGAACGAGACATTGCTATCCCCCAAGGTCATCAAGCACGCAACAGGCGGTCGAGAAAAGGTCTACTACGATTACTCCCAGGCCGGTCGAAACGGCGTACCACGGCCCCAACGAAGTTATTCGAATCTCGCAGACCAAAGACGGTTCGACGATAACTATGGAAGGCAATCGTCGTCGAATCCCCCACCAGCTAGGCGCTCGAACACGAACTTTGATTCTCCCAAGGAGCCCAGGCAGTCCTCTGGGGACAGGGTCCCTGAGACTCCTCGTCACCAACGTGAACGCATCGTACCCCGTGGTGAGCGACCAGAGAAAAAAGATCCCACCACGCCATACGATCGATCGGAGCAGGACAGAGAGCGCGACCGAGATCGCGAGCGGGACCGTGAGCGAGAACGGGATCGTGACCGTGACCGTGAGACGAAACGGACTCCAACCTACAAGCGCGACTCGCCACGCCGACGGGATGACAGCGGCTCCAGCAGCAGCGATTATTCGCACACCCCGCGGACGGCCAACGCCCGAAGGAGAAGGTCAATTGTGAACCAGGAGGGCAGAGAGAGCAGAGATGTTCTCTTGAGCCCCGAGCAGACGCGGCCGTCTCAATCCGGCAGATCTAGGTCTCGTGCGCCAGCTGAAGTTGTCAACCCATCCCCGCGGGTATCAACCAAGTCTTTCGCCGAGGATCTCCCTCCTGCACCTCGCGTCTCGGCAACATTTCCCATCATCAAAGACCCGAGGGAGAGTGGTGATGTGCGGGAGAAGCCCACTACACCGTATC